CCCTACTCAGAGCCACACGTCACCCTACTCAGAGCCACACATCACCCTACTCACTCAGAGCCACACGTCACCCTACTCACTCAGAGCCACACGTCACCTACTCAGAGCCACACGTCACCATACTCACTCAGAGCCACACGTCACCCTAATCACTCAAAGCCACACGTCACCCTACTCACTCAGAGCCACACGTCACGCTACTCAGAGCCACACGTCACCCTACTCACTCAGAGCCACACGTCACCCTACTCACTCAGAGCCACAAGTCACCATACTCAGAGCCACACGTCACCCTACCCACTCAGAGCCACACGTCACCCTACTCACTCAGAGCCACACGTCACCGTACTCACTCAGAGCCACACGTCACCCTACTCACTCAGAGCCACACCTCACCCTACTCACTCAGAGCCACACGTCACCCTACTCACTCAGAGCCACACGTCACCCTACTCACTCAGAGCCACACGTCACTGTACTCACTCAGAGCCACACGTCACCCTACTCACTCAGAGCCACACGTCACCCTACTCAGAGCCACACGTCACCCTACTCAGAGCCACACGTCACCCTACTCAGAGCCACACGTCACCCTACTCACTCAGAGCCACACGTCACCCTACTCGGAGCCACACGTCACCCTACTCAGAGCCACACGTCACCCTACTCAGAGCCACACGTCACCCTACTCAGAGCCACACATCACCCTACTCACTCAGAGCCACACGTCACCCTACTCACTCAGAGCAATACGTCACCCTACTCACTCAGAGCCACACGTCACCCTACTCACTCAGAGCCACACGTCACCTACTCACTCAGAGCCACACGTCACCTACTCAGAGCCACACGTCACCCTACTCACTCAGAGCCACACGTCACCATACTCACTCAGAGCCACACGTCACCTACCCACTCAGAGCCACACGTCACCCTACTCACTCAGAACCACACGTAACCGTACTCACTCAGAGCCACACGTCACCCTACTCACTCAGAGCCACACGTCACCCTACTCACTCAGAGCCACACGTCACCCTACTCACTCAGAGCCACACGTCACCCTACTCACTCAGAGCCACACGTCACTGTACTCACTCAGAGCCACACGTCACCCTATTCACTCAGAGCCACACGTCACCCTACTCACTCAGAGCCACACGTCACCTACTCAGAGCCACACGTCACCGTACTCACTCAGAGCCACACGTCACCTACTCAGAGCCACACGTCACCCTACCCACTCAGAGCCACACGTCACCCTACTCACTCAGAGCCATACGTCACCCTACTCACTCAGAGCCACACGTCACCTACTCAGAGCCACACGTCACCCTACTCACTCAGAGCCACACGTCACCTACTCAGAGCCACACGTCACCCTACTCACTCAGAGCCACACGTCACCTACTCAGAGCACACGTCACCCTACTCACTCAGAGCCACACGTCACCCTACTCACTCAGAGCCACACATCACCTACTCAGAGCCACACGTCACCCTACTCACTCAGAGCCACACGTCACCCTAATCACTCAAAGCCACACGTCACCCTACTCACTCAGAGCCACAGGTCACGCTACTCAGAGCCACACGTCACCTACTCACTCAGAGCCACACGTCACCCTAATCACTCAAAGCCACACGTCACCCTACTCACTCAGAGCCACACGTCACCGTACTCACTCAGAGCCACACGTCACCTACCCACTCAGAGCCACACGTCACCCTACTTACTCAGAGCCACACGTCACCCTACTCACTCAGAGCCACACGTCACCGTACTCACTCAGAGCCACACGTCACCTACCCACTCAGAGCCACACGTCACCCTACTTACTCAGAGCCACACGTCACCCTACTCACTCAGAGCCACACGTCACCCTACTCACTCAGAGCCACACCTCACCCTACTCACTCAGAGCCACACGTCACCCTACTCAGAGCCACACGTCACCGTACTCACTCAGAGCCACACGTCACCGTACTCAGAGCCACACGTCACCATACTCACTCAGAGCCACACGTCACCCTACTCACTCAGAGCCACACGTCACCCTACTCACTCGAGCCACACGTCACCCTACTCACTCAGAGCCACACGTCACCCTACTCACTCAGAGCCACACGTCACCCTACTCACTCAGAGCCACACGTCACCTACTCACTCAGAGCCACACCTCACCCTACTCACTCAGAGCCACACATCACCCTACTCAGAGCCACACGTCACCGTACTCACTCAGAGCCACACGTCACCGTACTCACTCAGAGCCACACGTCACCACACTCACTCAGAGCCACACGTCACCCTACTCACTCAGAGCCACACGTCACCCTACTCACTCAGAGCCACACGTCACCCTACTCACTCAGAGCCACACGTCACCTACTCACTCAGAGCCACACGTCACCCTACTCACTCAAGAGCCACACGTCACCCTACTCAGAGCCACACGTCACCGTACTCACTCAGAGCCACACGTCACCGTACTCACTCAGAGCCACACGTCACCACACTCACTCAGAGCCACACGTCACCCTACTCACTCAGAGCCACACGTCACCCTACTCACTCAGAGCCACACGCCACCCTACTCAGAGCCACACGTCACCCTACTCACTCAGAGCCACACATCACCCTACTCACTCAGAGCCACACGTCACCCTACTCACTCAGAGCCACACGTCACCCTACTCACTCAGAGCCACACGTCACCTACTCAGAGCCACACGTCACCCTACTCACTCAGAGCCACACGTCACCATAATCACTCAAAGCCACACGTCACCCTACTCAGAGCCACACGTCACCCTACTCACTCAGAGCCACACGTCACCCTACTCAGAGCCACACGTCACCCTACTCACTCAGAGCCACACGTCACCGACCCACTCAGAGCCACACGTCACCCTACTCACTCAGAGCCACACGTCACCATACTCACTCAGAGCCACACGTCACCGACCCACTCAGAGCCACACGTCACCCTACTCACTCAGAGCCACACGTCACCCTACTCACTCAGAGCCACACGTCACCATACTCACTCAGAGCCACACGTCACCCTACTCACTCAGAGCCACAAGTCACCCTACTCACTCAGAGCCACACGTCACCCTACTCACTCAGAGCCACACGTCACCGTACTCACTCAGAGCCACACGTCACCCTACTCACTCAGAGCCACACGTCACCCTACTCACTCAGAGCCACACGTCACCCTACTCACTCAGAGCCACACGTCACCCTACTCACTCAGAGCCACACGTCACCTACTCACTCAGAGCCACACGTCACCTACTCACTCAGAGCCACACGTCACCCTACTCACTCAGAGCCACACGTCACCCTACTCACTCAGAGCCACACGTCACCCTACTCACTCAGAGCCACACGTCACCCTACTCACTCAGAGCCACACGTCACCCTACTCACTCAGGGCCACACGTCACCTACTCAGAGCCACACGTCACCATACTCACTCAGAGCCACACGTCACCCTACTCACTCAGAGCCACACGTCACCCTACTCACTCAGAGACACACGTCACCCTACTCACTCAGAGCCACACGTCACCCTACTCACTCAGAGCCACACGTCACCCTACTCACTCAGAGCCACACGTCACCCTACTCACTCAGAGCCACACGTCACCTACTCAGAGCCACACGTCACCCTACTCACTCAGAGCCACACGTCACCCTACTCACTCAGAGCCACACGTCACCTACTCAGAGCCACACGTCACCGTACTCACTCAGAGCCACATGTCACCCTACTCACTCAGAGCCACACGTCACCCTACTCACTCAGAGCCACACGTCACCCTACTCACTCAGAGCCACACGTCACCCTACTCACTCAGAGCCACACGTCACCTACTCAGAGCCACACGTCACCGTACTCACTCAGAGCCACATGTCACCCTACTCACTCAGAGCCACACGTCACCCTACTCACTCAGAGCCACACGTCACCTACTCAGAGCCACACGTCACCGTACTCACTCAGAGCCACACGTCACCCTACTCACTCAGAGCCACACGTCACCCTACTCACTCAGAGCCACACGTCACCCTACTCACTCAGAGCCACACGTCACCCTACTCACTCAGAGCCACACGTCACCCTACTCACTCAGAGCCACACGTCACTCTACTCACTCAGAACCACACGTCACCCTACTCACTCAGAGCCACACGTCACCGTACTCACTCAGAGCCACACGTCACCCTACTCACTCAGAGCCACACGTCACCTACTCAGAGCCACACGTCACCCTACTCACTCAGAGTCACACGTCACCCTACTCACTCAGAGCCACACGTCACCTACTCAGAGCCACACGTCACCGTACTCACTCAGAGCCACATGTCACCCTACTCACTCAGAGCCACACGTCACCCTACTCACTCAGAGCCACACGTCACCCTACTCACTCAGAGCCACACGTCACCCTACTCACTCAGAGCCACACGTCACCTACTCAGAGCCACACGTCACCGTACTCACTCAGAGCCACATGTCACCTACTCACTCAGAGCCACACGTCACCCTACTCACTCAGAGCCACACGTCACCTACTCAGAGCCACACGTCACCGTACTCACTCAGAGCCACACGTCACCCTACTCACTCAGAGCCACACGTCACCCTACTCACTCAGAGCCACACGTCACCCTACTCACTCAGAGCCACACGTCACCCTACTCACTCAGAGCCACACGTCACCCTACTCACTCAGAGCCACACGTCACCCTACTCACTCAGAACCACACGTCACCCTACTCACTCAGAGCCACACGTCACCGTACTCACTCAGAGCCACACGTCACCCTACTCACTCAGAGCTACACGTCACCCTACTCAGAGCCACACGTCACCTACTCACTCAGATCCACACGTCACCGTACTCACTCAGAGCCACACGTCACCCTACTCACTCAGAGCCACACGTCACCCTACTCACTCAGAGCCACACGTCACCCTACTCACTCAGAGCCGGCGGCCATGGCTCGCTCGTGTCGGGCCTGCTCGCCGAGGGAGGCGCGTCGCAGCAGCAGCAGCGCCGTCGTGCTTGCGGTGGCGGCGATGACGCTGGCACTGGCGGCGGTGTTCCCGGCAGCGCTGATCGCGGCGACCGTCGTGGCCGCCTGGCCGTCGCTCGCCGCCGGGGCGCGTGGCTGTCGCGAGCCACTCGCGCGCCGCCTCATGGCGAGCGCCGGGGGGAAGGCGCGTCTCCCAGCGTGGGGCGGACGCCATCGGACATCTCACCCGGCGGCGGCGGCGAAGTTGGCAAAGTCGTCGAAGGCGGAAAAATCGGCGAAGGCGGCGCGGCCACGGGGTCCCCGGCCCGGCCGCCTCTCGCGCTCCTGCACGCGGGGAAGGTGAGGGGGGCGGGGGGGGGGGAACGACTTCAGACTCCGAGGCCATCGACCTCGGCGGCACGCGGCGGGGCCTCCACCGTGCCAAGAAGTAGTACCAAGGCTACGTCAGCCAGCCTGTTACTGCACACAAGGGGCACACCGATAAGGAGGCCCTGCTAAGAGTGCTCACTGGATGTCAGTCAAACTGAAAGTTGGAAATTAGGCAGTTTAACTTAAAACCCGAATGTACTCGCTGGACTCGAGAACCTGGTTTCATCACAACTCGGTCTATGCGAGTCTACGGGTCTCTATGCGAGTCCACCGGGTCTCTATGGTGGCCGGGCTGAGACCATCAACTCACTGCAATGAAGAACTCGGTTTCGTCAAACCGACTTATTCACTCTGAACTCTGACCTCACTGGCCACCTCTGTACAAGTGCCACCTCACGTTTCTGTTTGATTTCGTGCTAAGAGCACTTTTCAGGATAGCGCTGCATTGAAATGTTTGGATGTATTGTCGCTCGTCCACCCCAGGACAGCCCCACCGAGCCTGTAGACTCTTTTCCAGGAAGAGTCCTGCCAAGTTTGTCGGTGTAGCGGGTGACGCTGCTGCGTGTAATCCTAATTGAGTCATTTGCATGAAATTTTTCAGCATTGGGAAGTTTAGATAATTCCCGTTAAACTGTACGCTTTTTTTAGCTATGGGAGGAAATCCACGGAGAACAGGGGGCGAGAGAACATACAAACGCCACACAGACGGGCACCCGAGTCGAAAATTGAACCCAGGCACTTGTGTTACCACTGTGTGACATGTGGGGAGGAAGTTGGAGCACCTGGAGAAAACCCACACATACGAGAGGGGGTAACACTCAAAGTTCCGCACAGATAGGGTTCAATCCATTTGCTTTACTCCATCGCCGCCCGAGTCTTCAACACAGAATTTCCAAGTGTCCCGCACAACCACGTGGTCGGCCACGTTCGGGGTCATATGGCACGTGGGCTGTGCTCGTCAGTAACCGACAGGGGCTTCCGGTCTGTCTCATCAGCAGGGCGCGACGCAAATCAACAACGAGGATGTGCGACCGACGTTAGGGGCACAGGTCAATCCGTGACCTCGGAAGATCACGGGGTAGAAATTTCGGCGCAGGAGCAACCGGGATTTGAACCCACGGAGTGTTACTCTCCACAACGCGGCACTCAAGTTTATCGACACGAGCGAGATGACGGTCTGTGGAGAGACCTGGGCAATGATTTAAACTGACCGCCTGCGTGGTGCGGGACGCTGCGTTCCAAGCGGTGCGAGCTCAGCCGGCTGACCCAACGAGATTGTCTCATTCATGCTCTGTCATCTCCTGCGACGGAGACGAGGGGGCTCGACTGGAAACCCATCCAAATCGTTCCGGCGGCAAAGCCAGACCGCCCGCATTCATCACCCGCTTTCGCTCACAGCGGGGGCAGGGGGGGGACGGGAAGCGGAGGCGCAGTGGTCAGCGCACTGCGCTATAAACCCAAGCGCCACTAACATTATTCTGGGTCACGGCGAACATGAGCGGCGAGCGATATCCGTTCCGGTCCTGGGTTCCCCTCGCGCACAGCAACCCACCGCTGGCCGGCGCGGTGAAATATTATCAAACAACGGCCGCACATTACCCAGTCGGGCGGCAATCATCGCCGCCCCTCCCCCCGCCTACTGGTAGACTAATGCCCGCCGGTAGGCCAGGTCCCAAGTTGGCTTGTGCAAAAAAAATGGGCGAGCCGCCACAGGTTGTGCCCTTTCAAATGTGTAGAGGTGACATGAGATATCAAAGCGCTGCGAGGCACCCCGGCGAATAGGGGGACGTGATATCAAAAACACAGAACGTGACCGTCACGATCTGTCTCGGTCCACGTGGAAATCCAGTCCGGAGGATCGAGGCATTGGTGCACGCCCCCTGTTTACAGCCCCTGAGCCAGTGATGGAAATTCCACATTCCTATGGGGGGGGGGGGGGGGGCGCGGGTTTCTCCAACAGTACGGAGACCAATTGCCAAGTCCTTCGCACAGTGGTACTCTCATTTTATCGATGCTGGAGGGACGATTGGCCGAGTCAACCCCCAAGCGGGGTGTGAATTCAGAACCCTCTCATTGCGTGCCGCCGAGCCACCTGGCCCCACGATGCAACGCACCGCAGCGCGCTGGAACGTATTACTTACGTGGATTCACGTGAATTATTAGACACGTGATCTGCGAATGTTCCGTGTAGGCTCATGCAGAAAAATGTACTGTACCAATGAGAGACAAATCTAATTTATGGCCGAGTCGATCTAGGAGAGGGCTAGAACTGGTTCGGATTTTACTCGCCACTTATGTTCAGCGGCTGGAAATGGAACCCAGATAATCACGTTCGTACCGCAGTGCACTAGCCACCGTGCCACACACGCACACACATATACGCATGCATGCACGCACGTGCACCTCACACACAGGCATCGAATGTCTACACTTGATGCAACCTGTCAAGGATTTTAATACACACACGTATGCATACAGCACACACAGACCACACACACACAGGTTACACATGCGCGCGCACACACACATACAGGGTACACTCGCATTCAAACAGAGCACACACACGCAAAAATAAAGATAAATATCCCCGTATAGCCTTAACAGACTGTTGGGCCAAGTGCTGTTTGCGAGCACCAATGAAGGTCAGCACGGCACACGATGGCCAGCACCACGCGCGGCCACCTTTGTCTTCTAAATGGCGATGTTTACACACAGCACCAGGTACTCATTTTAAGGCTGAGTCGACCTAGGGGAGGTCCAGTACCGGTTCAAGTAATCGCCACTGGTGTTGACTGTGAGCAGGAATAGAACTTGGGTCACCGGGTTCATAGCACAGTGCGGCAACCAAGATCCTACCGCTCCCCATAAACACACAGGTAGTATAGGAACACACACAAGGTACACACACACACAGTACACACAAACACTACAACAACCGCCATTCGCCACAAAGTGGCGGTGACGTCCCCACGACACAAACACAAGGTATAAACACAAACAGGGTACAATACACAGGGTACACACACACAGGGTACACACACACAGGGTACAATACACACAGGGTACACACACACACAGAGGGTAAAATACACAGGGTACACACACACACACAGGGTACAATACACAGGGTACACACACAGGGTACACACACACAGGGTACACACACACAGGGTACACACACACAGGGTACACACACACACAGGGTACACACACACACACGGTACACACACACAGGGTACACACACACAGGGTACAATACACACAGGGTACAATACACACAGGGTACACACACACAGGGTACACACACACACAGGGTACACACACACAGGGTACACAATACACAGGGTACACAATACACAGGGTACACACACAGGGTACACACACACACAGGGTACACACACACATACACACGTGATCCTGCCACGTAAACTACACCTGGAAGCAGGGCACTGTGTGCTCACAGTGCACAACTCACCAAGTCTGAGATGTCACAAACCGGTCGACGGCAGACTACCCATCATCCGCGTGCGGTCCGTAAAACGAAAACCCTGTTTGTGGGAAATCGTCGTGACTTGTCTTACGGGACAGACGGACCCCTGCCATGGAAATGTGGAATTTACCCCACCGGTTCGGGGCCCCATTGCTCATTTCCGCAGGGAGACGGCGACATTTTGTAATGGATTTCTGTTCTCCTGTGGCCCCTCGTGATGCCATTTTCTTCATTAAAATGGCACACCACCCCCCCCCCCAGACTATTTTAATGCACAATCTCCCCTCCCCCTCCACCCAGCCTGCCCCCCACCACCGCCCCCTCATGTGTTGTGAGAGGAGGCCACATTTAGATGCCCCTGTAATTGCACACTGCATTGTACTCACACTCGAGATGTAATCATTTCACCCACACCACACACAATCACACCATCACGAGGCACAACTCCGATTGGTTCTCGTGGCTGCGAGTGTCGCCACCGGTAGCAACTGCAGCGGGGGTGTAGAGGTTTGTGTGTACGGTAACGTACGGTAACGTACGGTAACGTGCGGTAACGTGCGGTAACGTGCCTACGGTAACGTAGACACCACCCGTACGTTACCGTCGTTTTGCTTGTCTGGCCTCGGAAAAGTCTCGTCGAGTCTCGAAAGTCTTTTTTTTCAGGAGGGAGCTGCCAAGTTTTTCGCTGGAGGGGGGGGGGGGGATGGCGATGACGGGCTGCTGCTGCTGCGTGCGATTCCAAAGTGCACATAGCCTGGCACAAGTGCTGTGGTGATGTTACCGCCACTTAGCGGTGAATGACGGTTGTTGATCCCAATTGAGTAATTTTTACAGGCATGTTATCAGCACTGGGATGTTGTTGCCGATACCGGATACACTGCGTGTGCGTTTGTTAAGTTATGGGAGAAAACCCCTGCAGCTCCCTTCCACCCGATTATGACTCAACAACAACAGCAATTATAGAATATTGTCAAGACACTGCTATGTGAAGGCATCCACAATGCCGTGTCGGTCGTGGGGTTGACTATACTTCACTGCACTGACCAGGTTGGTGTAGCATGGCCAAGTGACGTGCATCAATCAGAAATAATCCCCTCTCGCACGCACGGTTCAACGCGTGCTTTCACGATTGCCAGAATGCATTTCAGTTAATGAGTCTATACACCGTTTGGGACCAGGACAGAACCCCTCTCTTTAGTCGTTGTTTGCGAGCACCTATTAACACGCTGCCACGGCACCCACGTGCGGCGGCTGGCATGGGCGAGCCCGGGCACCACCAGTGGCCAATGCTGACCACAACCACCTCCCGCTCTCATTGAGGCTGAGCCGAGCTCCAGTGGATGCCACAGATGGGCACCACGGCCTTGGCATCAAAGCCACGTTACCAGGATCGCAGCAAAGTGTGCAAAATCGCTGCGCCAGCACTCCTCAAATAAACCCACAGCTGCCATTCGCAACTGCATGG